GGGAGTGTGTGATGATGTCCGGATTATGTATTTGTCCTCCAGGATTCAAAACAACTGACTGTAGTTTTGGTAAAACAAATGTTTTAGGATACAAACAAATATTATATTTACCAATTTTGATTTTAGTTGCATGCACTGAGTTTTCTATTTTTGCTGCGAAGCAGCCAATTCATATTCTTGACAGCAATTTGACCTCTGAAAGGTCATTGTTTGTCAAAAAACAAGGGCCTAATACGACTGAAAAGCGGAGTTTCCTTCTTTCGTTCTGCCGGGTAAAATCAATCATTACTTTAGGCGACGTTTGTAGATTAACCTACACGTACCAACGTCCGCATGTCGCGCTGCCTTATCCTACTCTAGGCCTAGACTAGCTAGGATGGTATAGGCCTAGCCTTGAAGGGACGAAGGTCCCAATGAAAAACAGCGTCGCTCCTTGATAGCTAACATTGTCTATTTAACATCACAATAATTCATTATTAGACCACGGGACACCCAACATTCTATGTGTTTATATATGTTGAAATAATTTCTAAATCGAACGATAGTTAGGTAATACATAGGGGGTACCATCTGTCACGGGGACACTAAATATTAGCTTAGCTAAAATATTTGGTGTCCTCTACTATGCTATAATCACTAAAGCGTGAAAAATATTGAATAAACATGAAAATACATGAATAAACTTAAAATTACATGAAGCCATGAAAATTATGTTTGTAGCGCATGCGCAGTAGTGGGGGACACGTTCTGTCACGGGGACACCTAGAATTTTAGAACAACGTCATGGCTCGCTGGCTCACACTTGTGATGTCTCGCACTTTGGCAACACTCTTTGGCAGTCATCTGGCCCCTAGACAAAAATGTAAAATTACGACTTTGTTACCCAATGAGAAATGTTCTAATATAGACAATGGGTCGTGTCTCATATTATTTGTTAATGTTATAATTTTATTATTCATTATTTTCACTTGACTCGCATAAATAATTTTGTTCGAAGAACATTTATATGCAGTTGTACTTCGCAACACTTCACTTGCAATTTGCAATTTCTAGTCTCTAATGAATTATTAAGAATTAATTCAGGAGGAGGAATCGATAGGATTAAAATTGTTTTAACAATTTATATTTACTGTACATTTATCAATTTTCTTGAATATTGTCTATTAACTATATTTATAAGAGGATGGAGAAGAGCCATACTAGTGGTGGCATGTTGAGAAGCTGATGGGAGAAGGTAAGGAGGGGGTAGGATTGCACATCCTCAGGGCCCACCATGCTCAGGGCCCCTATTTTTTGCATATGCTAATGAGACATCTGTAGGCTTTCAACCAATAGTGATTAATACAGTATCATTTAGTTGGCAATTCTAACTTATTTATTTATTCAACATAGAGAGCAAGACCAATCTTCAAGAACAAGAAGCAACTGGGTCACACACGAGTGACCCCGTCTAAATCAAAAGGGAACACTTTGTTTGGTCCCAAAGGTGTCCCCATAATAGGGGTTTTATTGTATTTGGAAAAAAAATTGTCAATTTTACTATTATTCTTAATGTATTATAAAATAATTTTTATTATATTTTTCAATAGTTATGAATGGCTGAACCTATTTATTTCTTACTGTTTATTAACAGGATGTGGAAACAACAAGTGGGGAAGAAATTGCTTAATTGTTTGTAGCAGTAAAAATCCTGGTTGTCGTGGTAATTTGGCATGTGTTCCAGATCCGTTAGGATGTTCTTGTATGGCTGGCTATGGTAGTCTTAACTGCAAACAAAGTAAGCAAAATTAAATAAATTAATTATTAGCAATACAGGCATACCTTCCAGTATTTACTAAATGTCTAAATTATGTGTTTTTTCATAACCTGGAATCATATTTTTTTTTAGATTCATGTTGTCTTTTGTGTTTTTTGTTTTTTGTTTTTTGTTTTTTTGAGTTTTGGTCTTTCATTTTGATTGTGGCTTTTTGATTATTTTTGTCCTTTTGTAAATAGAGTTGGCTCATCTCCGGCTGTTTTTTGTTGTTGAATATCCTCTATTAATTTCTGTGGTATTTTTATATGAATAGGAATAATTTTAAATTGATAAAATAGATTGATTAGAAAGCAATTTCATCATTAGTCTTACAGTAACCTACTAATATTTTAATCACTTTACTATTACCTTAGTATATTATTAATATTTAAAACAATTTCATTGTAATAGTTACAGGATATATCCTATCTGCCACCTAAACAAGGCAAGGCAAGGCTGCTAATACTACCTGTAAGGGAAAATATTTGCACAGTTTGTCTGCTTAAAGCAGGGGTCCCAAATCTACCTGGAATTATAAAAGCCTCTCGCAAGCACGAGTTTCCTCCTGCAAACCCATCTCTTCCAATTTCATAATACTTGCATGTTTTTACTATTATATTCTCAATTGTCTCTCAGAAATCAGTGCTCATTTAAACAAATCTCCTGGAAGTGACTTCTTTCAACTTGGAACCCTTGGCTTAAAGGCCTTGACACGAACTGGGTATTTTGATGCTGTGGAAAGAAATACAACTGTTTGATACATCAACTCTAAAATATGAAAAATTTTCACCCTAAACCCCGCCCCTACCAATGGTGGCAAATATAGCCCCACTAAAGTGGGGTAAAATACTAAAAGGATCCCAGTCAATCTACATATATTTGCCCCAACTATTAAATTCAAAGTAAAAATTAATGAAAAGAATATCATGTGCAAAGAAATACAACTGTTTGATACATCAACTCTAAAATATGAAAAATTTTCACCCTAAACCCCGCCCTTACCAATGGTGGCAAATATAGCCCCACTAAAGTGGGGTAAAATACTAAAGGGATCCCAGTCAATCTACATATATTTGCCCCAACTATTAAATTCAAAGTAAAAATTAATGAAAAGAATATCACACAGGGGCCTTACCATTCTCCATTTGCATTTACAGTCATGTTAAATAACTGAATAATTATCCTCCACCATTTTTTCATTAGTGTGAAATATAATGATGGCAAGAATATCACATAATTAATGTCAAACTGCAAAGTAATGAGGTATACAATCAGGAACTGTTATTGGTTTATAGCATGTGATGGAATGGGGAAATATGGGTCAACATGCAGCGAGGAATGCCATTGTGCAAATGGTGTGACATGCGATGCAAGTATTGGATGTCCAGATGGACCATGTGCAGATGGATATTCCGGGAAAAACTGTCAAGGTTTGGCTTGTCCGTCTCCTTATTGTTTTCATTGTAGTGGAAACAAAAATTTTATTTCTTTTTTTTTGCATTTTGCAATTGTAATAGAATATATCTATTGCGGTGATTATTTGGGAGCGGTGCTTATCGATTAAAAGCTGGTATGGTGTGTGGCACTTATTCAAGAGTAGCACATGTTTGAGTGAGTCACTATTAGTCCAGTTAAAAATCACCTTAGCCATGGTTTAAGCTCCTACCTCAACGAAACTCAAACTGTAGGTCCTTTATATATTGGAAAGATCATATCATGATACAAAAAGTGGGATTTAAGGAAAAAAAGCAAGTTTTATAACCAGATTTTAGCCGCTTGTCTCCTCGAGAAGTGACGTCACGAGGCTAAAATAACGATATGCCATCTTGCGTCTCTACAAAACTTATTAGATAAATGATATGTTCGCTAATAATTACCAATATCACAATGCATTTTGATACAGTATAAATACATAAATATTACGATGTACAGTATTTTAAAACATGCGCAAATCTCAGAAAAACTGAAAAACAAAACCATAAATACGTGCGAGTTTAATAAATAATAAATGTGGCCTTCTTTATAAAGTATACTACGCCCTCAAACGGATCAGTATATTTTAACAAGCGAGGCGACGGTAGGTACCCAAGCGACGTGGTATAAAAGTTTGTACATGAGGTATAAAAATAAGTTTATAAAGTATAATGTCGGGTACCGACTACCATAATTTATCGCACTTATGGACCTAGCATTTAGCCTACGACTTCAGCTTCCCATTTTATTTGCAAGCTAGATTAAAATCAGCGAAACCTATAAAAAGTTTCTATAGGCCTAGATAAACTACTATTGTCCAATCCCTGATTTCCATTTGGCTTGAAGTGAGTGGAAGCTATGCTTTTTTGGGGGTTTTTTCACCATAAATATCCAACCCATGGTCGTTCTTATCGATGTTAATCACGTTTAACATATTGCCATTGTATTAGAACATAAGTACAGTGTAATATGTAGATGATTATAATCCTTTTAATCATCCGTTGTCACATTCTCATCCTTTGCGCTAATAATGTCTTCAATTTGGCCCCAGACCTACGTCACCAGCACCCACACAAACACATACACGCCATCCCCCCAAACAAACATAGGCCAATATATATATATATACCGCAATAC